AAGGCTTTCCTCCGGCAGGCGGAGGGTTCTTACCACCAGCATCACCGCCACCTTTGTCACCACTTTTGCCTCCGTCGTGATCATGACGTCTCAGCCGTTTGTGTTCTCGACGAGAGAGCTTTGGCCCTCCATCGTCTGGGCAGATACGCTTGGTGTCTCTTCCAGATGACAAGTCATTATCCATCTTCCGTTTTTCAGGAGTGGGCTTCTAGGCATTGCGCTTTGCAGCGTCAAATGCTCTTCGGTTTTCCAGGGCAAGCTCCATGAGCTCCATGGATAGGTCGGTAAGCCCGAACGTAGGGTTTTCGTCCAATATGCGTTCCACCTTTTGTCTCAAGGATTCTCGCAAGACGCCTGGTTTCACCTTGGAGATGAGGATGTAAATAATCATTTTACGTCGACTATTCCCTTCCAGGTCGCCCAGAAGTGCGTTTTCCTTCAGGAGTCTTCTTGCCCCTCCCAGGAAGCGGACCACTCTCATGGACACGTCCTTTTCGTCGAGGTCCCATGTCAGGGTCGACAACACATTTTCAGCGTCTGGAATGGCGTTGTTAAGAGGTTTCGCAAGGATCTCATCCATCTTTTTCAAGACGAATTCATCCGTAGCTACATCTTCCGTAACATGCCAACAGTACTCATATCATCGAGCAGGTCTGCCGGCTCTGCCAGCGACCGGATGGACGGTATAGCGGACGTGTAGTCTCCGCGTGCATTCCTCTTTCAGGTCACGCTTGAACTTCTCCCACTTCTTGGTCCACTCGACTAGAAACTCGGGGGAAAAGCTCGTAAGCTTGGGGGGCTTCACCAGCGTTATGACCGCCATCCCGTGGGGGACAGCGTCACTGTCACTGATGTCGCTCATCGTGTCCTGGTCGTAGTTTCAGACCAATCGCTCCAACTCGAGTCTTCCTCAGACGAGTGTAGCACTAAAGAATTCTTTGTGGCGACTCGTAGAGTCTCCTCACAAATAACACCGATCGAGGGGAGGCGCAACGCTCCCAGGAATCAGCGCAAGCACTGTTACAGCACACCTCGGTCCTTGTCTAGGACGCTCGAGGGCTTAACGGCTAAAGTGAGAATGAAAGAAACTGTCACCACCACCAACTGTCCTGCTTATCTACCAATCACAGATCATCATCAAGAGACATAGCCAATCAGAGAGCAGTTGGGGTTAGGGATGGCCGAAGGGCACACCCAGAAGAATAGAATGAATTCGGATACGACACGCCAGAGCTGGCCGCTCTCGATGGCGGTCTCCATCGGAGACGCGATGCGTCGCTTGCTTGATCCCGGGCTTGGGCCCACAGGAGGCTAACACTAGTTAGTATTCACTCCCGTCAAGTGCGCATGCTTAGTAGACCTTAAGCCTACATCACACGCGACAGCCATCATCTGAAGCACCATCTTCACGGTCAACTCCTCCGGCTGCTGACTTAGAGGGGCCCCACCATGCTGCCCGTGGCGACTGTGCTGGGGCACTCCAACCCTCAGAGAGTTGTGGCACGCATCAACTGACGTTCGCGACGTACGATCGTGACGTCGTCGCCGGAGTTGACCACTGTTGTCGCCTTGCCAACCTTGTACTCTTCATGTTAACGTGACGAGTGCACTACCCCTTGGATTGAGGCAGCATATGCGCTTAGCTCGCGATCGACACTTCGGGGTTTCGGGAGTGGCCATGGCCAGTCCAAGTGACGCTTGGAGAGGTCAAAGGTTGGCCATCCAAGGTAGATAGGAAACGTCATGCAGGGGGTGATGGCGCGCCGACGACTCCGCGCGCCATGTACTTGGAACGGAAGGTCGATCACGGCACAGCTCCGATGGACCGCATAGTAAAGGTACTGATGCTTATATGAACGAGGTTTATGTCAAGAGCAACCAGTACGCGACGCCACGGCCTTCGACCGGATTCGCATGAAGTTCCAAAGGTTGGCCGACCTGGTCGAGCCACGCCAAGCCCATTTTAGGCACCGCTATCTCTTTTTCCACCGCACCATCACTTCGTTGGGCCAAAGATCCTCCGTCCACTGAAAAGAGTCCCACCCATTGCGTGGATGCGTCGACTGCCAAGTTGGGCGTAACCTTGGCGTCCACCACGGACAAGTGTCGGCCTGGAGCTTCCCGTAGCATAACATTGAAATCGCGAACGTTGTGCCCTTCGAGGAGTGTACAGGATGGTGCCAACCCACCATCAAATTCGTACAAGGGGTCCCCCACGACGATGTCCATTGACCCGAATAGATTGACCCCAACGCCTTCCAAGATCCCAAACCATCGCCGGATGCCTTCAAAGGACGAGAACGGTCCGTCTTGCTCGACGTCGGCAATGCTGACACGAATTGTCCATTCCGGCACACCGACTGGCCACGCGACGAGCTGCCGTGTCACGCCGCCGCCATTCTTCCACGGCGCCGGCGGCACGTCCGCCACCCCAACAATTGTCCACATGTCCAATTTTCAACCTGTCCAAGAAATCATCTCGTATTTTTATCCAATCAGCATTTTTCAAGCATTTATCCTTCAGCAAACGAAATGTCGACATAAAGCCAGAATTTCCGCATATTTTCGTGGACTCGCTGACCAGCAGCACGAAGCGGCACCAAAGAAGCGCACGCCACGTCACGGCGACGATTCCTGCATACTGTACAGCGGTACTAATGTTGTGGATGGTTGCAACAAGGAGGCATGGCTATGCGCTGGCCGCCGACGGCGTCGCACGACGCGCGCGCAGCGCTCGCAACACGCGCCAACCTCTCACATTACTTGCATTGCGTTGGGGTCCACCCATCCAGGCGCGTTCACGTCGCTGGGATGGCCATCGACGGCGATAATTCCAGCCCCGGCTCACGAACCCGCACCTGCGACTTTCTTTTACGCACGCGGTCGCTGCACGAGTTTGACAACATGTCCACTCTGTTGGTTGGTCGGTGGCACCGCCTCCAAGTTCGTTGCATTCGTGTAAAAGGAATTCCTCCGCAGCCATGGTCTGCAGAGCGAACGCGAGGAATTCCGGTACTTGAACTCCCAAATAAATAAATTAAATAAGACAACACAGACACGCCCCGCTAGGACGACGCGGTGGGAGGTTGGTTCAGCCGCACGACGACAGCGCTCAAGTTGTCGGTGCTTCCCAGACGCATCGCGTGTGCCACGATGTCATCGCACGCAGCTTGTGCGTCGCCGTGAGCATTCAGCCGGGTGTGCACAAACGCGACAAGGTCCGCAGGGGCGAGAACGTCAAACACGCCGTCGCACGCGAGCACGACAAAGTCGTCTTCTGGGCGCATGCGGTGGAGGCGGACATCGGGAATGCCGCCGACGACGTCGCCATTAAACTTGTCCTTGAAGGCTCCCTTCGACGTCTTCAAATCGTTGTCCCCAAACGCGCGAGACACACCCAGCACACCAAAGATGCGACCATCCACGACCGAGCCTTTTGCAGCGACAATGCGTTCGAGTTCCGCCGCGTCCGTCGGACGGTGGCTGCGGCAGAGATCGACAACGTCGCGCCCTTCATTCGACGACAAAATTGCTTGCGAATCGCCCAGAGACGCAAACGCCATTGTCGTGCCGTCGACGAGCATCGCGATGGCTGTGGAGCCGTGGTGGATCGATTGGTTGTAGATGAGGGCGTCAGTGGCGAGCATGCTCGCTTCCAGCGCCGTGTCGAGGCTCTCAGTAGGATGTGCTTCCACGTGCGCAAAAACGTGTCGATGGAGGTGCGTCGAGAGGTAATCCGCGACATTGGTGCCGCCGTGGCCATCGTATACGGCGAAGTACCCGATTTTTTGGCCAGACGTGTCATTGTCCTCGTGGAGGTAGCACGCAACGCGGTCTTCGTTCACGTTACGCCGGCCGGCGATGGACGCGGCGCCGTATGCGATCGATAGCGACGGAATCTGGATGTGGGTCATCGCGGATGAGGTCGCCGACGCATTGAGGGTGCTTGGAGATATCGGGTGTTGCGACGACATGCTGCTCGTGGGAGTGTTCGCGTCCGACGTTACATGCGAACTCTCAAGGACGTATCCTTTCTCGCCAAAGATGCTCATGACATCGCGGTGTTTGGACCGGGATGGCGCGGGTCGCTTGACGCCTTTGAGGCTACTTGAAATGTGAGGCAAACTCAGGATCGGATGTTCCAGCGACAAGGCGGCTGGGACCGCCGGCAACGACGCAGACCCACGCGTCGTCTTTAGGTTGCGGTAAAACGAATTCAACGACGGGTCATCCGCCACGACGCTGACTTGGAGACGAGGCGGCAAAAGAGGCGACCGCGACAGCCGTCGCGGTCGTGGCAGCGTCTCCGATGGGGACAGCGGAGACGGGCGGAATACAGACGACGATGCGCCGTGCATGGAGTCGGTGGACGCCGCCGTCGCCGGCGACGACGCGGCGGCCTTGGTCTGGCAGCACCCCATGGACAAAACCTGGAATGGCCGCCCAAGGGATGTGGTCGAGTGGTGGTTCAACGGAAATTCCCACGGAAATTCTAGCCAATCAGCGGAGTGCCCTACCCCTTCGAAACCCGGATTTCACTCGAACGGAGCAGGATTTGATTGGTGGAATAGGAAACCACGACTTCTTGGCCAATCCAATCCATTGAAAAAGGTGATTTCGCGTCGGAAACGTATCGGATTGGCTATAAATCTTTTGACGCAGCTTCTCAGCACTTACTGCATTTCGTCCCGCTGGGTGTGGCTCGACAATGCAATACTGTGCGCCACCCACGGAGATGGATCTGGCTCGCTGCACGTAATGGCCCGCGGTAGCAACGATGCTACATGTCTGGGACAGGAGGGCCGCGGGGGATTTTTCGAACGGGCTGTCGGTCGCGGCCACCCTTCGAAAACCAGCCACCGAGAAGAAGCGCAAGAAAAGATTTTCCGGCGAAAAGAAATCACCCGTGTGCAGTACAAGTCCACGTGCATATGCGCGACGATGTCGCACGATTGCAAAGGCGGGGCCCATCGCCCACCGACAGCGCGGCCCCCCCCGACGTCGTCCCCGGGCGCACGTCATGATACTTGAGAACTTGCGACGGACCGCCAGCCGTCAACGCCTGCGTCAAAACCCCCTGCACAGGACACGGGGGGGAAGTTTTGGGTGTTTGGGTCGTCCACTGCTTCTTTGTATATGTACCATCCCTCATTTACCCGTCAAGAGGCTCGGTTTGCACCGGGTATGGACTGGACAACCCGGTGGCTGTCCCCTTGAAGTTGAAGTTGCACTTGTCACGTGGCGTTTGTTCGTTCGTAGTGCAAGTACGCCTCGTAGTCGGACACGATGCTAGTCCAGTGTGACGGAGGCGAGTCAGTGGGCAGGACATTTGACGGACCGCACAAAGGAATGGCCTCTGCCGCTGGACCAGACGTCGTCGAAAGTGAGGGCTCGTGGGTCTTTGGGGTGGATCATGTCGAAGAGTTCGCTCTACGACCAAGAGCCGAGAGGTGTGGCCCGAGATTCACACGATCGAACCCGCAGGACAGGGATGTCGAGGGGCTGGCCGGTCGCTGTGGCAACGGCATGCGAAATGTCTGCAAGAAAGTAGTCGACCGCTGCCGCGTCCAATGTTCCGCATTGATGGACATCGAGGACGCGCCAAAAAAACTGCACGGACACAACGTCAAACACACCGACCGATGGAGAGACGCAACCTGCAGCGCGTGCTTGGATGTGTGGTCGTGCAGGTAAAGGTTCAAGTCGAGAAACGAGTTGTAGTCCTGCACGGGCACGTCAACCAATGCCACGATGGAGCAGGCAAAACCACGTCGCCGTCGAACGTGACGAGTTCGTCAAACACGCGCTGGACAAATCGGCGAGTGAGCGCATGGGTCGGTCGTTGATCTGGCCCCACAAACGCCTTCTTTTGTCCTGCACAACGATCCAGCTCACACGATCTTGTGGCTCGACTGGGCCATACCATAATGCAAAACTTCCTCTGCCGAGAGCAGACCATTCTTGTCAGTGTCAAGTTGCACATACTACGACGGCAAATGGTACGAGCCGGTCGGAACACTTTTAAAAGCATGACCACATCAGAGCGTACTTGACGATGCAGCCGCTGAATCCTGTCCATCGAGAGTGGGTTCTCGGCGTACTCGGGAGCGTCGTGGTAGGCACGGCACAGCAGCGGCACCATCGACTGAACGACATTCGACTTGCTGGCTTTGTCAATGTAGAGCTTGCCTACAACAGCAAGTGCGCCAGTTGTGGCTCGACGCACGGAGAGGCGTGGACCGACCAGTACGATACGGCACCAACGGGAGCCAAAGCAGCCGCGTTGCGATGCGCACGTAGTACTCCTTGAACGCAGGCTATACACAGGTCGGTCACGATCCGAGCCACTCGCAGAGTTGGCATCGCCATCCATAGTATCAACCCCCAACAGCCCAAAGCACACGCCACGTACGTCGATGCCGTGCACCCAAGGCACTTGGTCCACCCAAGTCTTGACCATGTCGGTGACTTGGGCCTCACTCAGCCATCCACAGTCGGCCACATCGGCGCGCCTGCGGTTGTAAGTGACATATCTCGACGCCACGACCAACGAGGCGTACTGGAGCAAGGCCAAGGCGGCGATTTGGGCACTAGCCTGTTCTACAACAGCTAGCCATGCCAGGCCGTGGATGCGTCCGTGTGCGTCGTGCGGTTGGAGTTGCAGGAACACGTCGGCGGTGCAGTACGAGGCAGCCGCGGCGGGCAATTGCGGCCGCATTGCTGCAAATTGTGTGAACTTGAGCATGGGTTGGTTGAGTGTGGCTAGCATCAGTTCGAGTTCATCAAGGCAGGCGGGGGGAACGGTGGCGTCTTCCTCGGCGTGTCCTGTCGATCGGTTTCGATGGAAGCGCAACGTGCCACGACAAGAAGGAGCGATGTGTACCGAGTTTCATGGCGACGGCTGTTGCAACGTTATGCTCGGCAGGAAGGAGCATGGCTGCCTCGCCAACAACATATCGGACTTGCTGCATGTCGATCCACGTCAGAACTCGCTCGGACAACTTTTGCTGGCGCCGCGCGGCCACGGCCTCTTGGAGACGCGTCCGCGGCGCCGAGAAAGAAACGGCACAGGACTGGTTCAACTACAAATGGACAACTCAAACGAACGCGACCGACGTGCGAAAGACTGTACGGAAGGCCGAGGGAACGGCGGAATCGAAGCCTCGAGAGGCGGCGGTGGAAGATGGCGTGCCAAGTACGCCTTGAGACATGCGATGGGGCTGCTCGACGACGCATGGGTCGGTACGGTTGCCATCGCTTTGACGGAATCGTCACCGTAGCTTACATCGGTTTCAGCGTGTAACTGAGGTCGTATCGAAACGTTTGGGCGCGACGTGTGGGTGCTCTGGTTCGGTAGCCGTGCTCTGCTTTGGCATTGCCGTCATGAACGCCCCTGGTCCACACTGTGGGGGATGCGCTCCCAGAACACGGCCGCGGAAACGTTGGTCATGCTCGATTTTGTTGCGGGATGCCAGCGTCACCGCGTACATCGTGATGCACAGAAAGCCGACCATGGAGTGGCCATGAATGGTAAATAAGTGGATATGGCGGACGGCAGAGCCTGCCACCGAAGAAACGAGTCGTGGCCGGGCGACGACTTTCAACAACATCCCATCGTGCCAAACACACATTGATGACACACGGAGTGTTCGACTGTAGAAACTTGCCTAGCTACAATGGATCGCCATCCTCCTCCTTCATCGTCTGGATGTCTGGATGCGCTACGCCTACCGGTGGACCATCGGGTGGTGCACCTGCTTCGGCTGGATCGGTCGTTGGGGTTCGCTTGTACTTGGCACGTCGACGGCGTAACACGAGCCAAAGGCCAAGCGCACCGACCGTCAAGAGCGACGCCACTGCAACGAGCACCACTCCCGACACGGGCAATCGAAAGCCATCGGTTCCTACATCGACCAACGTCCCCCAAATCAAGTGCTGGACATCGACGCGTGACAAACCTCCATGGCGACTTGACGTGTCGGGAGAGGGCGGCGGGGCGGCGCTGGTCGTCAGCGTAATCACCTACGTCCGGAATCGATGGGCCATACGAGTGCGTCCTGTCGACCGCGACAACCGACGATACCGGCGAATAAAAGTAGTCGGCTCCTTGAATTCGCCGCCCATTCCATTCCATCTTGTACCTAATGTTACACGAGCGCATGCTGACCAGAGTCACGGGGAACGATTGTACTGGGGGTTGGTGCGGGCATTGACGACGTGGCTCTGCGGGGGCACGTGTGGCGACACTGCCGCCTTTTGGAACGCCCATCCCTACTCGACATCATCACACCCGCCATGCGTCCCAGTGTATCCCAACCGCGACCTGATCCACTTTCGCCTGGGCCCGCAAGAACATGGTGGACGATGCTGACGACACCGGCACACACGCTGCAAACGCCGTCGAGATGCTTTGGCTGTCCTCGACGACCTTGTCCACGTAACGTTGTCGACGCGTGACCCCGCTCAGCACGGGCGACGCACCTGGCGCGCCACAAAGCGGTCAGCACGCACGATCGTGTCAGGCAGGCGATTCCATTGTTCGCTTGTGGGGGCTGGTTACCTTGCCCAGTGTCGAACGCGGCATCGGTCGACACTTGGACAAATGTCTCGTCGACGGTGAAGCTACCGAGCACGTCCCACCGCACTCGAACGTGAGTTGTCGTGATGGCCATTGCACACGTCGACATCGGTCCACTGGCATCGCAATCGACGACATGGAGATCGGACAAAGGACATCCTGCGACGGTGCTAGTCAATTGGCGCTTCTAGCCACAAACGCGCGTGTCAGCAAATGCGTCGGCGAGAGAACCACCGTACATGCGATGTATGTTTCGGCACGGGTGGCTGCCACACGATGTAGGGTTGGACCATGTCGATGACGAGCAATCCCAGCCGCACGTTTTGCACGACGTGGCCAACAGGTGCAGTTGGCACCGCCTACCACCATCGATGGGTTGCCCGTCGCCACCACGACCGACACCAACGCACCTCGAGGTCGACATCGTATATGGAAGACCGAAGACCGAGCGCACTCTGCACGGGGTGTTTGCTGTCGGATGTCTCGACCAGGAGGTTGAATGCGCGATGGGTCATGTTGTTGTACGACGTCTTCTCGGGGGGGTACTCGCCGTACTGCGTCGGCGCGCACGGGGCGAAGATCGCGCTGTCTCGACGAGATGCAAACTCGTTTTCCCATGACGCAGCATACGCCCAGTCCTCCATGCCGCCGTACACGCCGTACACGACATCGTTCATCGTGCCTAGCCAAGAGTTGAGTGCTGTCCATCCATTTTTCTTTTGGCTGAAAATGATGTACACCACACACTTGCGGCGGCACACGCTGGCGTCGCATTCTTCGACCGCTTTCACCAAGTCGACATGGACCAGATGTAGATGCGATGTTTACAAACGTACCGGTGGGGTAGTACGTGCCGTCGGGGAACTTGCCCGCAAAGGTCGAGAGCGCCGACGCGAGCGCCGCTTGGCTCGTGTCGTCTGGGCTCCGTTCACTGCGCGCCGAATCCGCTACGGGATGGCCACGGTGAGAAAATGCCAACGAGGGCCGCGTACAACGCCAGCGCCAAGCGGCATTCCGCCACAGACACCAAAGGGATTTCAAGCAGTCGTTCGTACAACACTACCGTCCATGTGGTTGGGGGCGCCCCATTCATAGGTAACGCAGCGCATGCCGCCGTGAAACGTGACGGCGAGCTGGAACATGTGATCGCGCCACAGCTCGTTGACGGCTCGGCTACGAACGCAAACGACGAGGTCGAGTGGTGTTGAGGGTTCCACGGCGGCCATGTTTTTGTCTGGGGTACCTCGTCATGGCTTGCATGCAGTTGCCGTTCGTCTTGTAGTTGTAGTCGCGGTTCGGGTCGACGCCATTTTCTTCGCGTTTATTGTGGTAGTACCCGTGAGAATTTGTCATGGGCATCATGTAGATCGATCGGGAATTCACCAGCCTAATGACACCACCGCCGCCATGGACAATCCTCGACGACGCCCATGTTAGATGCCGTACCGATGCAGCCACGCTTTTGAGCGACGGACGTTGGTGCTGTCCGACGACGTCGATCCAGCGGCGAACGAGGTCGCGTAGTCGACGAGAAGAAGCGCGAGTTCCATCGTGGCTTGTGGACCGACGCGTTCGTTGCCATGCAGTGCGCCACTGAAGAATACCTCGGGACGATCTCCATCCCATGTCGATTCATTCGTGATACGAAGTACATACTGCTTGCACGGAACAGCGACACCATGCTCCTCGCCGCATTGGAGGTCTGTGGGATACGGAAGGCCGTACTTGTCTTGCGCGACGAAGAGGTCCACGACGTCCGGGTGGCTCGCGTTCAACGCCATCATCGTTTGCACCATCTCCTCGTACGTCCGATACTGGAACATTGCATCGGGATCACCGCTTCCCGCGCTTCCGTGTGCCAACACCGACGCTGCCACGACGACAAGCCATGGCGGCTGCGCCATCCTGCAAAGTCCTCCATACCCCGGTGCTTGTACTACTAGTAATCTTCGTAGTAGTACTACTCTCCATGCGCAAGATAATAACCGATTGTCGTCGATCCATATGTTTAAAATGCGTTTTACGTCTCGGTTTTGCGTTGTCCTTCCCTGCGGTTTTATTCACCTTTCAGGACGTCAAACATACATGACTGGCTGCTAGAATGCGTTTGCTACTTCAACGTGACAAGGTTTTTCTTTTAAACATCCAGTCGCCAATATTTCTCTTTTGATAGATTTCAATAAGTCCATTATCGGAGCAACAAATAGAATTTTTTCGCGCCGTCGCGATGTCGGCCACAGCAACACAATCAAACGGAAGTTTTCTTGGCCTTCTTTTTGCCGCCCTTCTTGGCCTTCTTCTTGCCGCCCTTCTTGCCGCTCTTCTTGGCCTTCGTCTTGGCAGCCTTCTTGGCAGCGCGCTTCTCGGCGCGCTTCTGGGCCTTGGCCTCGGCGCGGGCCTTGTTCACCTTGGCGAGGGCCGCATCAAAGCGCTTGCTGGCGCCGATCTCGAGCGCGTTGTTGTGGATCGTGCCCTTCTTTTCCAACTTCTTGCGCAAGAAATCGATCGTGGCGGCTTTGCCCGTCTTAGCGCACCCGTAGATCTTGGCGACGGTGGCAAAGTCGCCCTCGCTCATCTTTTCGCGCTGCCCAAATGGCTTGGACGCTTCCAGATCGCAGTCCGACGCCTTGGGCTCAACGCACCCGAGGGATTTGGACTCGTGGGGGCCGCACCACCGCTTGTCGTCCGACCGCTTCTTGGGGATGCACACGCCGCGGATTTGAGGATAGTGCATGATGGAAAACTTGTCGTACTTGGTGTACAGCGCTTGCTTCTTGGGCAGGTAGTTTTGCGCCCCGCGTTGCATGTCGTGGACGATGATATTGGCCTTCGGGTTGGTGTGCTCATGGTAGAGACCGGCGCTGTGCAGGAATTCGTGAACCACCGTGCCTTTCCCGACCGAAAAGCACGGCGTGCCCAAGTTGAGCGGTTGGGCGCCGATCTTGGCCCACCCGACGCGTGCCGAGCAACGTTTCGGGTCCTTCTTGCTCACGAGAACGTAGTCCTTGCAGCCGCCGCACAATTTGGACGAATTCGGCGCAGCCTTGCACTCGTCCAACGTGAAAAACTTGAGCCCGGACGTGCGGAGGTATTCGAGGCCTTCGTCGATGATCTTCTTCTCCGAGTCGGAAAAGTCTTCTTGCTTCACTTCGTAGCACAGTGTTTGTTCGGGCCAGATCGCCGTGTGTTCCGTGTCGACAAAGTACCCGAGCTTGCGCTTCTTGATCACTTCGGCGCAGTTCTCCGCCTTGGCCATCGGCATGTCCGCAATGCCGGCGTCGCGGTGGCACGTCAGCTTGCCTTTGTAGCAGTAGCGGTAATACGACCCCGCCTCGTACGGCTGGCCGATGATGTACTCGGCCTGCTTGTGGTGCATGTACTGGCCACCGAGGCCGAGACCGTGTTCAACGGTCACACAACTGTTCTCGTCGGGTTTGAATGCAGAGGCTGCCGCCAAGGCCGCGGCAAAGGAGTATACTCGCATGTCGCTAACGTCGTCGATTCAACAATGGCTGTGCTGTCGCTGCCCCATGCTCATTGTCGTCAATCGTTGGATCGTGGCACCGGGTTGTATGGCAGCGGCACGTTGAGTAGTACTACTAGCTCCTGAATATCTTGCAACTTGTATATTTGTCTAGTACGTCCGAGCTCTACTAGTCCGCTCCATGAAACGTGTCGAGGTCGTTGGTCGAATCGCACGACTACAGCATGCATCATATCATGCAGAATCTATCCTACTTCTACTACAGGATTGTGACGGATTCATTCGTCGCGACGATATCGTCTGCTCGAAAGTGGTTGTCGGACTCCAGGTTTCCACGGTAATATGAACATGCAAAAGACGACACGATGGCACACGGCCGAACCGTATCCGGAGAGAGCCGGATAACCGTGGCGGTGAAACGTGAGCCACTGCAGGGAGCACAGGCATACATTGCCGTCGCCAGCGCATGACGTGGGTGTGCATGGCTCCTTGTGCTGGGACTGTACATGCATGCACACGTAGGTGTGCCCCCTTTCAACACTCCTCGGCGTCGAGGCACTTGCTCGATCGAAACGCTGCGCATGGTGTAACCGACAGTGTAACGGCAACTAGAACGGCCCGATCGGTGGCGCCATGTGCACGTACAAAGTGCGTCCCGATCCGTTTGCAAGGGGTCGGTTGGGCCACGTCCACCAGGCCATCGACTGCATGAGGCACGAACATCGCCAACGCGTTCCTACAACCTTCTTTGACACCCCTGCGTGATGCGTGACTAGTGGTGCCGTCGTGGCGATCGAAGTGATGGGGTTTGCCGACCCAGACACGGCCCTCGCGTGGTATGCAACCCTCGACCACGACATGCAGTTGGTACGTGGTCGGTGGAATGTCGCCAAAGATGCGAATACAGTCCTGCCATGTTGGGGCCGTAGATCAAGAGCATGTCGCACCCAAATCTGTTGCAGTACATGGGTTTGACTGTGTCGGAGCATCGCATCCATGCTGTGTCGGAGCATGTGGCGGGAGGCACGTTGCAACGGTGCGCTGCGCTCACAGCTTCACCACCGATCTGTTTATGAACAAGCCGTACACCTCACGTTGTGGTGTCAGACTCTTGGCAGACATGGGGCCGCTACACCGATCGATCGTGCCTCAGTACGTCGTCGGTCTTCTTCGTGGCTTGCAGCAGCTGCACATGGTACGTTGTGTCGTCGTCACAGGAGCTCCACTTGTGTTGGCTCATCGAGGATCTCCGCAGCACGACCTGGCCCACGGAAACCTCTCCAGCGCGCGAATCTTTCTCGGGCAAAATGGGCAAGTCAAACTCGCATGCTATTTTCCCACTGGTCCAACCATCGACTTGCTGTACCAATATCGGTAGGTGTGCGAAATTGATGGTCGGCGGGACGTGGGTGGTCTCAGCTGGACATGTTAGGGTCGTCGAAGGGCTGACGTCCACGACACGGTTGGCCCACCATGGAACAAGCGCCAACGCCATGGACGATGCCATCGCGCGGGATTTACGGAGCGTCCTGTGGCTCATGGTTGAGATGCTTGTGGGAGGTCGAGTCGTACGCATTGCCTCCTTGGTTTCGTGGCTAAAATGCGCGGCTAGCGAGGCATCGACATTGACCCTCCCCGCCTTCGACAGCTCATTATGGACTACCCTGTCGAGCAATCGTTCTTGGAGCACGTCCTACACCTTCTGCCGGAACTCGCCCGCATCTCGGTCGATTCCGCCTACGCGATCTTGTTCGATCACCCGTACCTTGACTCTCAAGTAACGTGGCCGCAACTCGTTCGAGCAGAAACGCCCCAACAGTATCGCCTCGCCTCACCCACGACTTCCCCTTCACGTCCTTCGTTCGTTTGGTAGAGTGAGGGCGGCGAGAGCCGCTGTCGAACTCGATCAGTGCGCCGCAGTTCGAGCCGAGCTCTCCGTAGCCATTGACTCGTGGCTACATGGTGAGGTGTCGAAAGCAGGGCGAGGGATTCGTCGTCTCATGCTGCCGTAGAGTTTGAAACCCGACACCATCGCCCCCCCAAGAAAAAGGAGTGGCCACCCGACGTCGTCGACATGCAAGCGCAACTCAGCGCGTTAAAAGTGCACATGCAAGACCTCCACGACGCCGCCACCCACGACAAAACCAACATCTTTGGCCACACGAAGGCAACGAACGACTATCGATGCCCCAGTATAGCATCAACGGCACCTTTTGAACCGACGCAGCGACGCCGATCCACGGCCCTACAGTCCTTTCTCCACCAAGCTTCGACTGCCCGACAAGTTCAGTCGACAACAACTTAACGCGAATCGATCGACCGATTGTGCATATA